CAGTTCCTGCGGAATCGGACGGTGGTCTTCATCGCCGACTCGTTGGACCGTAACGAGGTCTACCATCTCGCCCAGGAAACCTTTGGCCAGACTTCCCTGTCGGTTCTTGATGCCCCAAGAACTCCCTCTCATCCACTACGCTGCTCACCACTCCCATCAGATCGGAATCGGTGCCCACCCCAACCTTGGCTCCTTGATTGCTAATTGGTTCCTCATGAGCTTCGACATTGACGTCCCTACAACGCCCTTCTTCCCCCCGACGAACATCCGCCTCAGAACCTCGAGGCCCGCTTTGAGAAATTCTACAAACCTTTGATCTACAATCACTCGGAGATTCTGAATCCTGCTCCCGATCTGGTCGTCTTTAATTCCGGCCTCTGGGATCTCGTGTTCCTCTCTAATCGCAAAGATTATCAAATCAATCAGAATTGGACTCAGGTGATCAAGTCTAAAATGCAAGTCACGGGCCACAAGCTGCTATCAAAATCGGAAATCGAACTGCATTCGAATCGGATCAAGAAGCTCTTAAACTCTTCTGCTTCTTCTTCTTCCATGTTGTTGTTGTACATTGAGCTTTTTTTTTGCTCCGTTTGGTACATTGGGTTTGTTTATCTTACTTTCAACTTTTTCTTTCTGTAAAGCATGCTGTGAAATTCTTACTTTCACTTGTGATTCCAATGTTTCCTTTTTTTTTGGTGGTGGATAGTAATGGACCCTACATAAGTGCATATATATCTTAACCATATACATACATAAACCCTTCTCAAAAAGAAACAGTGAACAAAACAACATCAAAATCAGGAGATACAACATGGTAAGAAAAGAAGCAGGAATTGATCAAGTCATGATTCATATAAGGAAGCCAAAGAAACTGATGTGATCATGGGGGGTGCAAGTTGACAGTTCTTGATTGAGATCTTTTGTGTCTTTTTATCCAATGCATTTATAAGCTCAGTGCTCTGCAATATGTATAAAAAACCATACAACAAAACTAACATAGTTGTTGTTCATTAGCCAGGTTTATGGATGATTGAAAATTTATCAAATTTCAAAGCCCATTTTAAGGTGTTACCCAACAATTTTCTCAAGTTTTAGAAACTTGTACAAATTGATCAGAAACCCCAAATCTCTCCAACTTACATACATAGTTTTTTTCTTTTTTTTTTTTTTAAAAAAAAAAAACAATGTTGTTGCTATGTAAAGGCCTTGAAATTGGATGGCTTCCTGTCAGCATTCACAACCCTTCATGATCAGGAATTTGATTGCATACACCCCCAATTACATAGGTCTTAATTCTAAGGCCAAAAAAAACTTTTCAGTGACAGAAGCCAGCTTGTTGAAATGGTGCCCATGTGAGCTGGTTGTAAATTTTGATTTTAGAGTGTTATTGGTAATAATCTAGAGCTGAGAGTGGTCTGAAAAAAAAGCCAAAAAAAATTTTAAAATCAGAATGGGAAGTGCTCCGCTGTGGTCATCATTGATGGATTAACCAAAAACTGGTGTTGTCCAGGATGGCAAGTATGCTGGGTGATAGTGTAAGCAGTCTATGGATGATTTGCAATTTTTTTTTATTTTCTCTGGAGAAGTTGGATGAATGAAAACTAAGAGGATGAAGTGAATGAATATTCTCAAACCAAAGCCATAGATCGGAGCCTTATCACAGAGTGGAAGTTTCGTGGATGGAGGGGCCAGTCACATCATGCAGATGGCCCCTATCCCTTTGCTCGACTTTGACCGGGTCGAGAAAGATAAACTGGCCTTGCAGGTCCATTTTAGGATGAATAGAGATCCCATCTTGGAGCACTTGGAGCAGATGGGCTTGAAAGTTAAAATCCCTCCCAAATGGACCTTTTATAGTTGAGCAGTTTTGCAGAAATTAAGTAAAATAAAGTCAAAGTTCTTTTACCTTATTGTACCTTTTTCACAATTTCAGTTTGGCTTGAGTACAATTGAATTTTTTTTGTTTGACCACATGTGTTTCCATGGTGACCCTGAACAGACCCAAACTGTCAGCCTATGTGATGCCAAGACAAGTGTCTTCTAGCTACACAAGGTGCAAAATATGAGAGTTTTTATGGAAAAAACTCTGGGATAAAACTGGTACAGGTAATTCAAAAGAATTACGTAGAATTTATGGATTAAATCCAAAAAGTGGCCAATTTATATTAATAAAATTAATATAAATAAAACCAGAGGGGCCTGATAAATCAGGGGTGGTTTAATCCCTCTAAGGTATCGTGCAAAAAGCAGAGGATTTAGGTACCTGGTACACTGGGGCCTGTAACAGGTGTGGTTTAAATCCCAGGAGATAATTTTAAGGGGAAAATCTTCAAGAAAGGGTTATTACTTACTAGTAATAATCCTAAGGGGTCTTGAGGATCTTCTTAGTAGAAACTGGACAGTTGGGAGCGCTCAGAAAGGTTGATTTTGGGTGCTGGATGATCACTGGGGAGTTTCTTGAGGGTTCTTGAGGCTTAATAACAGCAAAAATAGTAATAACTAGGCTAATTACAAGTGTAGGGGACTTGTAAATGGTAAGTATGTTTCTATATGGTATTGTAAAGCTGGTGGATCATTATTTGGGCGGTCAGAAGGCTCCTTAAATACCTGTGGAAGGCCTCAGGGGTTGCTCAGGGGAGCTTAGTAGGACTTGGGGGCGGTTTGGGCCCATTTTGGCCCACATGGTGATGTAACCAGGGCTGGGACCTTGGGGATAATATTCTAGAAGCTCCAAGGGGTCATGCACGAAATTATTACAGCCAAGAATGTCCCATGGGAACCTGTGGATAGGGGCTACTCTGTTACGTGGAGCAGTTTCCTTGGAAATGGGCCACAGAATATTCCAGAGGTGTCTTCTGAGGCTTGCTACACGTGTTACCCACTGGAATATGGTTAATGTAGTATTTTCATGGATATTCTAGCTTGTTC